GCGTTGACCCATGCACCAAGAGGTCGCCAGTTCGATTCCTGGTCATGGCACATGCCCAGGCTGTGGGCTAAATCCCTAGTGGGGGGCATGCAGGAGGCAGCCAATTGATGTTCTCTCTCATTGATGTTTTTCTCTCTCTCTTCCTCTCCATTTCTCTCTAAAAAAAATTAATACAGGAAAACAAATTTTAAAAAAAGTTGACCTTAACTAAAGTTGTGAGTACTTGCTAAAGGTCCATAAACTCTGAGAATCAGGTTATTATCTACATCTTATAGAGGAGAAAACTGAGATTCAAGGAGAGAATCCTAAATCACAGAGCTATAATGGTGAAGGTTGGATTTGAACTTCACTATACCTCGTTGAAGTACCAATAAATTAAGCCAATAAAGTAAAGACCAAAACTTAAAGGGTTAAGAAAGGGTGACTACTGTCCCCGGGCTAAGGAAAATCTTAGGACTTCAGTTATGTCCAGGTGGAAAGCACACTCTCTAGTGACCACAGGGTGAGTGCACACACCGAGGATGGGCACACCTGTGGGACCCATACATCATACTGCTTGCCAGGCAAGAAAGACCACCAAAAAACTGCCAGCCTTGTGCTATAGTATGTTATCTACTGTAACAGCACAAACAATATATTTAGGGGAGGGAGATGTAGCTGTAGTGAGTAAGCTATTTTCCATCAAGTCCATGCACTCAGTTCCCTGGTCACACCAGTTCTTTTCAACTCCTCTCATGAACAGCTTTAGGAGGTCTCAGTGTTCAGGCTTTTTATAATCACTGCTCCTCTTCCTGCATGAAAAGACAGCTATTCATCCCACAAGGTAGCAGTACTGGTTATAGAGCAGGCATTAGTCATCAGGAATTTTTCAAATAAACATTCCTGCAAGAAGTAGGTCTCCAAAACATAGAGTCAATTATGTTACCTCCTGCTCTAGGAACTGTTGAGGGTTCCCTAACAAAGTCTAACCTCATAGTGGAGCCCCTTGGTCTGGCCCCAACTTCTGCCTGCAGCCTCACCTCCAAACACAGGCTGTTTGATGTTCCTGAAACACACTGTGCACTTTTGGCCTCAGTAAATGTTAACTGCCCCACCCGTCACATCCAGCTTCCAGACACTCGCCAGGTATTCCACGGGTCTCATCTTGGGAAGAGTGCTGTGGGTGAGAGGGCAAATGCCCACTGGAGCCTGAGCTCTCTCCCCTAGACCCCGACTGGAGCCGAGACACATATAATGACCAAAAAGGGCCTGTATGGGGCTAGGAATGCCTCACTCTCTTGGGTTTATCTGAGGAGGACAGAGTGGCAGCTGGCTTTGGACATATGTCCAGTCCAAAGGATTCAGGCCAATGACGGGGGCATGGATTAAGTGGATATTAATTCATGGGGGTCTCTGGGTTAAAGCACATGTGTATCGAGGGCATCTTTATAGGGAGAAAACACAGTTTGGTTCTATTACCCTGGGTCAATCCTGAATTAGATACCAAAGAGACATAAATAAAAATAACACACTAACCTCTTACCCTCCAAGAGTCTTATGTAGCTATTTCATTTTAAATCTTAATTCTTCCCCTCTGAGTTATGTAATAACGAATATTCCTCTTTGTTTTAGGTATACATTTCCTTTATCTTATTTCAACAGAGGAACAAGCACTGAGGACCCAGACCAGAGCCCTGACCTGAACTAAAGTTCTCTAACTCCCTAACCCCATGGCTCCAAGGACTCCTCAGATAAGCCATGTGGCCCAGGGCTGTTCATCAACACACTCAAGGCCCAACTTTCCCACTAAGGCTGCCTGCCACCTTCATCTAACTACATGGATGCGGCAGACAGAGAGCTATCCTGAGAATTAATGAAATGAGAGGTTGTCTTGACTAACTTAATCAGCGATGCTCTCATATCTAAAGGAAGAAACTGACCAGAAGGGCAGGCCTGAAGGGCAGTTGGTGCCCAGTGCTGTCCTGAGGAGACTCATCCATAAGTCTTCAGCAACTAGAGATGTGCTATGCGTGGGGAAAAACAGTGCCTCATTGTGGCCTGGATGAACTAGTACTCAAAACCATCCCCTCCCTTTCTATGTCATGTTAATCAAGGAAACCTCTAGTAATTCATTGGGGCCAGGTAATAATAATGATTAACGACCCCTTTCTTGTCTTACAAGGCACAATGAACAAGAAACAGAATGGCTGCTCTAAAGTACAAGCACATCCTATGCCCTGTGGGGAAAGAGGCTATTTACACCTCCACCGGCTGTCTTTTGCTATTTCCATTAAGAGGAAGAATACTTTCTGAGATAATCACAGGTTCTTCCTAAAGTATTAAGATTAAAGTTCCTGGGACAGCCACGCAACATTAAACCCAAGTTCCCATTAAGGAATCTTCTAGTAAGCATGTAGAATTGATTATATTTACTGTAGAAAATGCATTTGTTCACCTTTTACATTTCTTGACAGGGACCCCCAGATCTAGTTTTACTCTTTGTTGGCTGTGCAAGTAAAATAAAAATAGGAGTTTCCAGCAGGTTTAACGCAAACACAGCACGCAGTCCAGTTTCTTCCACGCCAGTCTCTTTGCCTGCATTTCCCCCAATCCAATCTGCACATAACAGCAAAGCAATATTCTCATACTGAAAACTGCTAACGTCTTAGTACTTAGTTAAGCACCTGGTACTCATTGCTTTTGAAGATATATTAATTTACTTACTCCTGACAATAGCCTAATGAAGTAAGTACAGCTCACATTTTATTTTAAAAAGTTTTAAGCCCTGGCCGGTTTGGCTCAGCGGTTAGAGCGTCAGCCTGCGGTCCTGAAAGACCCGGGTTCGGTTCCCGCTAAGGGCGCGTACCTTGGTTACAGTTTGTCCCCGGCCCTGGTCGGTCATGCGGGTGGCAGCCAATCGATGTGTTCCTTTCACATCGATGTTTCTCTCTCTCTCTCTGTTCCTCTCTCTCCCTCCCACTCTACCTGAATAAAAAAATGGAAAAATGTCCTCGACTGAGGATTAATAAATAAATAAATAAATAAATAAATAAATAAATAAAAAGTTTTAAAATATTTGTATTGACTTTTTTGAGAGAGAGGAAGGGAGAGAGGGAAACATCGATCAGCTGCCTCCTGCCTGACCCCTGTTGGGGATTGAGTCTGAAACCCAGTCAAGTGCCCTGACCAGGAATCAAACTGGGACCTCTCAGTCCATGGGACGACGCTCAATCCACTGAGCCACACTGGCCAGGCAGCACTGCCCACGTTTTATAGATAACAAAATGGTTAAGTAACTCCCATAAGAACGTATGGCAAGTGGGAGAAGCAGGGAATTGAACTCTGGCAGTCTGACTCTTGGGCCCCAATACTTACCTAGCTTGTCCCCATGACAGAGGGTCTGGGTCTACTCTTTTAAGGAAAGGCCCATGAGAATAGCCATCACTTGCTGAACACGTACCACCTGGACTACCGGCTACAAACTGGTATAGTCCATCCTCTCAGCGATCTACCAGCAACCATTACTACAAATGAGGAAACTGCCCAGCTCAGAAGTCACCTGGCCAGGGGGGCACAACCCCACAATGGGGCTTGCCAGGGACCAGGTCTGCCTGGCTGCATGCACAGTCCCTGTCCCTGCAGCCCCACCCACGACCCAACAGAAGCCTGCACACCCACGCCGAAACAGTACAGACCCAGCAGAGAGCACCTGCAGTCAGGCACTGAGGAGAGGTAGTGCAGAGCGCGGGTCCTGGGACGCTGGCTCATCCCGCAGCTGGTGAGCAAACCTAGGAAACCGGGATGGGTTTGGAAGAGGCCAGAGCACGCAGCACCAATGCCACACCAGTCACTGGAGGAAAGCCCCAGGCGAGAATTACTCCCGGGCAACGCTTGAGGAAATGAACAGAGTCGTGAATCAGAAGCCAGGTGCCGTGGGGCCCAGACCTGTGGCGAGGCCGGGAGGATTCAGTTCAGGCAGCAAGGGAGAGAATCTATGTGCTACGGGCACAGGGAGGTGTCGATCAACATCCGCCGGGGAATGACTCGCTGGGAAAAACGTAAAGCGTCTTTCCAGCCTGGCTGTTTACAAACATGCAGACGAACGTGCGCAGGAAAACCACGGCCCAGGGCCGCTCCTTCACACAGCTGGAGCTCCTAGAGGCGGGAGGTGACCCACAACACTTAAGGGTCCCGAGGCTTTGGGGCGCATATTGCAAATCATCTCCGCAGCTCCTCACTCTGACCCAGCCTTCTCGGAGAACCGGGGAGCTGCAGGCCAAGCCCCGGCCCGCCCCCCGTTTCTCCGCAGGCCCGAGCCAGCAATTTCAGCGCACTCGGCCCCGCCTCTCGCTCCCTGGGGCCTCGGGCATGTCACTCGACTCTCCCCGCCTCGAGCTCCGCATCTGCAGAGTGGGGACCACGCTGCGGGCCGGCCGGCAGGGCTGCGAGACAGCAAACGAGGCGGCCGGTACACGGAGACGCCTCGAGTGCCCCGCACGCCGCACGCGCGGAGGCGGGAGCTCACAGGAGCGGCCGGGAAGGGAGAACCGGCGCACCGTGTGGGAATTAAAGGTCCGGGCAGAGTCCGAGCAAGTCACTGCCCGGCTCAGGTTCCGTCGCCCTAACTAAGGCCGCGCTGAGAGCGTGCAGACACCGGGCCGAAGGGCCGGGCTCCTCGGGGGAGGGGGCTGCGCCAGGGAGACCCCCGGGACCCGGAGGGCAGACCCACCCCTCCGGAAGGCACCCCCGTCGGCCGCTCCCACGAGCCAGGAGCCCCGGCCCCACCGCCGGGAGCGGCCCGCCAGCCTCCCCTGGCCCGCCCGAGCCTCGGCGCCCACAGCCAGTCGGCAGCTGGACTGCCGGGCCTGCGGCGGCGGCGGCGGCGGCGGGGCCAATGAGCTGCGCGGCTACGCAGGGGGCGGGCGCAGGCAGCCCTCCGCGTCGCGCCCGAGCCGCTCCCTCCGCCCCGAGCCGCGCTAGGCCGCGGGCCCTAAACCCCGAAGGGAGAAAAAGCCGCTCACCGCCCCTTTGCAGCAGCTCCCCGCTTCCGGATGAGCTCGTCCAAGGAGATGTCCGCCATCTTGCACCACGGAGCAGCTTAGATTCCCTCAGCCCTGGCGCCCGCCCCTTCAGCCGCTATGGCGGGGCTGTTTCCGGTGTTCTGTCGACGACTTCTCGCGTCAGCTCAAATGAGGCAAGAACCGGAAGAGGCGGGGCGTTCCCCGTAAGCCTTCGCGGCTCTGGCTGCTTATCTGCATACGAAATATGGGGCCATTCTCGTTCTCTAGTCTCCCTCGGACAAACAAAATGAAAAGCGACAGAAAATATTAACTAGTATGAAGGTCAACTTCAAAGGAAGGGGGGTTCTCAGGTCAGTGGTCAACTTTGATACTCACCGTATCACTAATGAGATTAAGATTCATTATGTACGGAGTAAGAGTAGTGCTCCTTTATGCCTTAAACTTATGAGTAAGGAAAATAACGATTCGGGGTGACGCCCGAATCCTCACTGCTAATGTGAGACGAATTTTTGTGCGGGTAAAGGTTGCCCCTAAGGTGACCCGCCTACTTTGCGGGATGCCTGGGAGTTGCGATCTGCCCGACCCCCCTCACGCTCGAAAGATAGGCCGGCTGGGCGGAAGGCGATGCGGTCGGTGACATTTCCCGGGAGCCCTAGTCCGGAAAATGCAGTTTTTGCCTCCAAACACGGGGCTTAAACATGTTTGTCGAATCATTAAAACACACGCACACACGTCTTCAGAAAAACGCCAAGCATGGACTCAGTGCTCTAGGAGTTGCAGGATGTTATTTCTTTAGTCCGACACTGCGAGTTGGGTACTTTATTTTATTTTTATTTTATTTTTTATTTTTTTACAGTTTGTAACCTTTTTATTTTTATTTTTTTCTATTATGAATTTTTATTTATTTTTTTGTTACAGATATTTTACCTTTTTACCCCATTGGCACCCCCCCCATCCACCCTGTCCCCGGCTTAGTTGTCCATGTCCATTGGTCATGCACACATGTATAGAAGTTCTGTGGTTTATCTCTTCCCCTCCCCCCCACCCCCCATCCCCTCTTCTGAGGGATGTCAGTCTGTGCCCTACTTCCATGTGTCTGGGTCTACTGTATTCCTCAGACTGTTATGTTCATTATGTTCCGTATATAAGTGAGATCATGTGGTGTTTGTCTTTTTCTGCTTGGCTTCTTTCACTTAGGATAATACTTTCCAGGTCCCTCCATGTCCTCTCAAAGGATAAGAGATCTTTCTTTCTTACGGCCGAGTTGGGTACTTTAAAAAATAAAATTGAAGCGACGTTGGCTAATGAGTTATGTACACTTGACAGAACATCACACTACAGTTGAAATCATCTGGCATCAGAAGCTGCGTGGAAAAACTGAGCAAGACCTGGAAAAAGCAAGCCAGGGCGTCTGGGGTTGGGCACCAGACAGGGGGATCCAGGCGCCACACAGGCGGCCGTGATTGGGTGCTGGCTGGCCCCACTCTGAGCAGCGACCACCCCCCCCACCCCCCACCCCCGCTCCCAGGGGTGCGGCAGGAAGGGAGGCCGGGCTAGCTGGGCCGTGGGGGCAGGTGCAGAACCGGGAATGGGCCAGAGGCCGCAGGAGTTAAAGCCCTGTGTGTAGCGCCTCGAGTGAAACGTTAAAAAAGTCACTTCAATTATTTTTAAAAATTAATTTATTTTTGTTACAGATGTTTCTCCTTTCCCCCGCTGATTCCCTACTCCCCCAAAATATGGAACGCTTCACGAATTTGCGTGTCATCCTTGCGCAGGGGCCATGCTAATCTTCTCTGTATCGTTCCAATTTTAGTATATATGCTACTGAAGTGAGCACCATTTCAATGATTTTTTTAAAAATTTGTTTTCTTTATTGATTTGAGAGAGGAAGGGAGAGAGAGAGAGAAATATTGATGAGAGAACACATTGATTGGCCACCTCCTGCATGCCCCCCACCAGGACCAAGCCCACAACCCAGCATGTGCGACCTCCTAGTTCCTGGGTCAAGGTGGAACCAGCCACCTCCTGGTGAGTGGGTCAAGGTCCACGCTCAACCATTGAGTCACACGGGTCCCAGCAGTTCAATTATTATTATTATTATTTCTTTTTGGTACCTGCCCCTAGCAGGAACCGAACCCAGGACTCTGATCCGCAGGCCGCTGCTCCAACTGCTGAGCCAAACCGGCCAGGGCAGTTCAATTATTTTTTTTAGAAGCCAGCACAATAGAGTCATTAACTGAGATCAACTTATTCTGGGGTTCTCGGTGAGGTGGCCTTCCCTCAGGGAGATTTCCATGCTTGGTGGGGTTGTGTTCGGTTGGACCACAGAGATCCAGAGGTGGGGACTGTCTTACATCCCCAGCAACACTCCAGGACCTGCGGGGCCCTTGGGATTCCCTGAGCCAGGCCTCACTCCATTTCTTGTATGAACACGCAGGACTTTTTGTTTGGTGTGAAAAAACATGGAATTGCCAGCAATGCAGATGTGTGGCCCCCATGGAACGGCCCTGCTTTGTTTGGAAATTGACCAAGAATTGTGCTCCACCTGGAAACACTTGGCCGGGTCAGCAGAGGCCCTGGAGCCTGGGAGCCGGGCTGCCTTTGGGGCTGTGACAGTTCAGGAACCTGGCATCTGGGCAAACCCCTGTCCTACCCCCCTTCCGAGGGAACTTGGGAAGCATCCACATGCTGGAACGAGCATCACTATATAAATTCCTTTTCTTTCTTGCCCTTTAAATATAGTTAGAGCTGTGTGTGTTTACATTGTGTGTAGATTGCGGATATTACCTGTGAACTCACTTCAGGAGGGTAAAGGGGCTGTTACAAATGTTATTTTAAAAGGGTGTCCGGTCTGAGAGGGTGGAGAATCACTGACCTAGTTCACATACCCACTTGACGGGTGGGGAAACTGAGACCAGGAGGGAGAGGGGAGACCAAGTCCAACTCATGCCCTTCTTCCCTGCTCCAGGAGACGGCTTCTAGTGGCGGATGTATGTTCAGACCCCGGCCCTCAAGACTGTTTTCTTACCCTCCAGATGAAGACAGGAATGAGACCTACTGTGTCCAGTGCTAAGCAACCGGCACAGAGTTAGTGTGGAGAGGGCCCGGTCCTTTTTCTGCCCACAGGGGACAGAACAGAAGGTGAGAGGCGTTTTTTCCTGTGAACTCTCCCATCCCCTCCTCTTCCCCTTCACTCCAGCCACACTGGCTTTCACTATCCCCCCCCCCCATCTTCCAGCAGGTCCCCGCCCCAGGGCCTCTGCGCTTGCTGGTTACCCCATTCCAGCCTCAGCTGCACCACCCCTGTAGCCACCTGCCTCCTCTGGTCTGCCTGGAAGTGGATTCCACGAACTTGTCCTGACCGCGTCACTTCTGCGCTTGCGGTTCCCGTCGCCTCAGACACCTGCTCCAGCAGAGCCGGATCCTTCCGGTCACGTCCCAGCAGTGTCGTCTCCTGGAAGGGCTTCCCTCCCCACTGTCTCATCACCATCTTTAATTTTTGCCGGGGCTTTTACCATCCTCTGTGGTCTGCTGTCTCACTAGCACCCCAGGAGCAGGGAAGTGTGTGTCGGGGTGGCCAGAGTCCCCAGCACCTGGGGCAGTTCAGGAATGGATGTGGAGACTAGTGAGCGCCCTTCCCCCTCGGGGCCCTCCACGGGGCAGTGGCCCAGCCCTCACCCGGCGCCACCTCCAACCCAAAAGCCATTCATTGCTGAGCCTGTCTGTCCAGCTGAAAACGGGGTTAATGGTTTCTCCCTACTTTTCTCAGGGTTGCCAGGAGGAGAAAGCAAAACGGAAGACACGTCGGAGTGGTCCAGAGAGGCCTGGAGACGCCCTGTGCGATCACACCTTGCTGGGACAAGATAGACGGCTGGGGCTGGGCATACGGGGAGTCTGAGGCGGGCCTCCCGGGTGCACAGCCCTGGCCCGGCCTCTGGCTCCAGGAACCTGTCCAGAGGAAACCACCTGGAAGAAGGGCGAAGATGCCACCACTCCCTACAACATCCACACACTGAGACAGCCTGACTGCCCAACGGTAGGGGACTCGCTGCACACTAAACGCGACCCATCTGCTAGACAGAGCGTGACGACAGGGGGCGCTCGTCTGACATTCGGGGAGAGCATGGCCGCTGGGGTCTGCCACTGGACCTCTGGTGTTCTTTCTTCCTGTGCATACTCTTCTGTCCTCTCGGGACGCCAGGCCCTGCGCAGCCCCTCCTGTTCCCGATTCCTGCCACCCCTCAGGGACACAGCCTCGAGGATCCGCACAAGGGTTGATATTAGCAAAGTTTTATTGCAACGTTTTTTCTGCTCATAAATGACTCTGAAAAAGCCGCTATGCAAGAGGTAACCCACTCTGTCTAAAGGCAACATCGAGGCCACTGAGACCATGGCTAGGACAGAAGACTGCTCAGAATCTCCCCACGCTGGGGGGCAGGCAGCGGGAGGGTGGCTTTGGGACAGAGGAGGAAATACACATCAGCTCTGTCTTACCTCTGCCACGGGGCTGGTGGCCCAGGACCTCAAGCTGCGGATCTAACCTCCAGGCTGACAGCTTGGAACTCCCAAAGCTGCCGAGCACTGGGTGCACTGGGGAGAGTGGAGGCTTTGGGAGGGCCAAGTGCCAGCCCAAGGGCCCCGGCCAGCCCCTCCTCCTCGGGCCCTGCGGTGGGGGCAGCCGCTCGCCCCCAGCAGCCCCCGCCAAGGGGACTTTGGGCAGTGCCTGTCCTGTAGTGTCAGGTGCTGAGGCCCGCCTGGCCCTGAGGCAGGTGGTGCAGGGCGCGGGCCCCAAGGTGGGGGCAGGGGTTCCCTGGCACCCGCAGCCCTGGACTGCCGTATATTTCCGTTTACTTCCGGACTGTGATCTGGGCGGGGTGGGTGGAACTCGGTGCTGGCAGTCTTGGCCCAGTAGTGTGTGGGGTGTGGGGTGTGGGGTGTGGGGAAGAGGGAGGGGCAGAACCCGGGGCCAGGCATCACTGGGAAGAACGGGTGAGGGTCAGACAGGAACCTGTCCTGAAGGTGGCCGTGGTGGCCCACTGTAACTGAACCCTGTTCCCAATGGGGCCCCTTGGGGCCAGCCCAGCAGGGTGACCACCCAGGCACGGGCAGGCCAGGCTGAACCCAGGGCCAGTGTGAGATGGGGGCAGGGAGGGTGAAGATGGCAGGGCCGGGGGGTGCAGACAGGGCACGGGCAGGCATGTGCGCGGCCAGCGCCCGCCCTCAGAAGGTGAAGCAGCGCTCCTTGGGGTGGCCCACGCGGTCCAGGTTGGGCAGGCAGGCGAACTGGACCATGGGCGGGGGTCCGCACATCAGGACCAGCGGCTCCTCCTCTGGGGGCGGGAGGTGGTCCCGGATCATCTCCTCGTTCACAAAGCCCTCGCTGTAGTCCCAAGCTGCGGAGGGAAGGCTGGGTGAGCGGAGCCCGGCCGCGGCTGCCCAGCGCCTGCCCGCCTGCCCAGCACCCCTCCCGCGCTGGCGAGGCTCCGTGCCCTGAATGCCTCCCTTCTTTCAGCAAACCCTGGAGAGTGGAGAGCGACTGCAGCACACCTCGCCCTGACGCGGGCCTCAGCCCGGCTTGCCCAGAGCACAGACGCAAGCTTCTCATGGTTTCCCAGTTTGCAAAGCCGTTCACTTCCGTTTGGCCCCTCGGGCGGGCCTCAGAACCACCCTGAGTGGCCCTCATTTTGCAGATGTGAGATCAGGCCCCGAGGACCCGGACCTGAGTTGCCCTAGTTCACATGAGGAGTCATGCACTCGGCTAGGATGTGCAGTCCAGGTCCCAGAAGTCCAGCCCCAGGCCAGTGTCCAGCCCCGGGCCGGGCCAGGTGACATTCTCTATCGGGCCCACTGTCGAAGTCTTGCCCCCATCAGGGTGCTGGCCATGAGGAACCCTGTGTGGTGCCCGGCGCATAGTATTTGCTCAATTAATAATGAAAGATGGAATGTGTCCCAAAGGGCTCTAGTCCAACACGGACCCTCAGGGACTGACCCGCTGCAGGGGCTGCTCACAGAGGGGCCACCCAGCCTGGTACAGTGGGGACTGAGGGCTGGCAGGGCCCTGTCGGGAGGACGGGGCTCTGACGGGGCCGTGTTGGGGCAGAAGAGAGGAAGAGGAGACAGATGGCTGCCTCTTCAGCTCTGGCTTCCAACCTGCAGGGCAAATAGCCCTCTGAGCCTCGGTGCCCGTGTGTCCTCAGAGGCCATCCTGCCTGCCTCACAGGGTATGAGGCCTGGGTGAGAGGAGGGCTCCCACCCTCTCCCGAATGTGCTGCCTACCACGCTGCCCCTCCCTTCGGACGAGCGAGGAGGGGACCGGTACAAGCTCCCCTTCCTTCACGGCTCTTCACTGTTCAGTGGGACAAATACACTTGGGGACTGAGGGTACACACTGGCCATGTAGCCACAGGCCTCAAATGACTCATGCTGAGCAGCTCAGCCCGAGGGACAGACACACGGAGAAAACTGTGGATGCCCCCCACCGGCCGCACGCTAACCTCCCTGAGGAGCCGCCGCTGGCCACCTCCTGAACCCACTGTGAGTGCCCGACCCTGGGGCAGCCTGAGCTCTGGCCAAAGGACGGGGTGATCCCCAGCACATCCCGCAGGGGGCTGCGGAGGCAGAGGGGGTGATCAGGGCGGCGGCGGGCGGAGGTGTGGGTAGCAGATGGGAGGGCCAGGAGAGACAGGGCCACTGCCTGTCGGGGCCCGGTGCTCTGCCAGGACTGGCTGAGGCTGGGGATGGCTTGTACCTAGTCCCTCCAGCCTGACACCCGGTTACCTGGCTTGTCTGTTTTTTACAGCCTGGAAAAGCCTCACTAAAGCCCTTGACCCCAACAGAAACCCAGCTCTGGAAGCCCAAGGTCAGGAGGCCGTGACTGAGGGACCTTGCCTAGATGGACACTCATTGCACCACACTGCCCACTCTGTGGGGGTCCCCTGGGAGGGGCTGGGACAGTCCCAGCTAGCCTCGGCAACGGGGTGCCGAGCAATGGAGCACTGTATCTCATGGATGCTGATCTAAGTAACTGAGCACATCTCCCTTTGCACCTTGGCTGCCGGGGAGCTCAGGGTGACACACATGCCATCTGCAGCAAGTGTGCGTCCCAGGCCATGTTTTCGTGCCAGCCTCCTTCCCGACTCCACTTTATGGCCCTGCCCTTGTTTTTCTCTCGCTCCCACTTTCTATTTGTACCACTCTGACTCACTCTGGGTCTTTTTGAGCTGCCTAAAATCCCTTCTGGAATGAGGCAGGGCACAGACACATAACATTGTTGAGCTGAGAAACAGATCGGAAAGGACTGTAAAGAATGGCACAGAGCAACTATTTGCTAACATGAAATGAGCGGGTACGCGAGACCATCTCTGTCTTTCCAGACAGTGTTTTCTTTACGTGCGTGGGTGGTGGTTTTGTGGGGGAAGCACGAGTCGGCTGCATTCACGACCGGCTGGCCCCTCTCCTGTTCCTTTATGGCACCATGATAGCTGCCTGGCCAGTACCCTTTCCTTTCTCAACATCTAGAAGCTCAGTTTATACCCAGCGTTATAGCAATACCTTAACTGCTCTTAAGTGTGGGTCAGGGTAACAATAAACCTAAATATAAAATGAGAAGAGAAAACCCATGGTACCTCCCTTGGTTGGTAACTGGTACTGTTAAAACGGTCCCTAGGAGGTGGCACTTTGGTCTGAGTGTTACCATTTGCCACCAGCAGGGGGCAGTGTTGGTCCCCACCTCCCGTGGACAGGGGCGTTCCCATTGTGGCTCAGGAGCCTACCCTACCGCACTACTAGAACCTGCAACCTGAACAGAGCTAAACTATCATTCCCCCCCTTTCGAATGAGACCTGGGTACAACTTAAATGTTCCCTTCTTTACTAGAGAAAGAGCAGCTCTGCCTCCCAACTGGGGGTCTCCCTGACCACCTGTTACCGTACTCTGTAATTTACTAATAAGCCTGTTTTTGTTGATCCCACCCGAACATCAGCCCATGGGGCCACACAGCAGAGGCCCCCAACAGGAGGGCACCTGTAGCTCAGATGGCTGGCCCAGGACAGCCGGTCCAGCCAGAGGCCTCGGGACCGGATGTCAGGTCCACCGTCCATCCAGGCCCAGGTCAGGCTCGCAGACGTAGTCACCAGGGGGGAGGCTGTCCTCTCAGGGATGGGCCCAGATGCCTGAGCTCATCAGATGGGCGCCAGCCCCCAGAGCCATCTGCTCACTTCCCGCACCACAGTTGAGTCCCAGGGAACCGTGGGGCTGCGTGAGAAGCTGGAGGCCAAGCAAGGGCGGGGTGGAAGAATGTGAATGAGATTACAAGCTGGCGCCTCCCTGGGTACTTAGAAAATGTTCCTAACATTCAAAAATTTCCCATGAAAATACAGATCCAGCTTCCCTTAAAACGTGGGAAGGCCTGGGCTACAGGGCTGAGTCCCACAGAGCCGACTGGCCTGCAGCTGGGAGGGGTACCCGCTTTGGACAGGGCAGGTGCTCTCCAGTCTGCCGCACTCCCCACCACTGCCCATTGTCTCCCAACGGTGAAGCAAACATCACTGGTATTGTCTACAAAGAAGCCCGATCTGCTACTCTTCCCACAGCAAAGAAAACATTATTTTTTGCACCCCTATCTACCAAAGGCAAGAGAATAAAGGAGTTCGGCTCCCAGAGGGCAACCTCGTTTCCAGTTTGGGGGCAGCCCTCATTCACTGCCTCCTACGGGGTTTTGGTTCCTCCACAATCAACTGCGTGACCCTGGCAAACAGCTAAACACCTGGACAGGTGACCCCACATCAGCCCAGCCCACCCCCCACGGCTGATGGCAGGAGTGGGTGGAAAGTACCTAACAGGGCACCACCGGCAGTGGGAGCCACCACTCCCAGCCCCAGCACTGGCCCTGGAGACCTGCCCCACTGGGAGCCCCCGCCCACGGGAGAAGGCTGGCCTCCTCTGTCCAGCAGGGGGCAGTGCAGCCAAGGGAAGGCCCGGCTCTGGAGGAGCCTGTGAGCCTGTGAGTTCCAGGCCCAGCTGGTGTTTTCCAGCTGTGTGCCGTGGGGCACTTCCCTCCCCTCTCTGATCCCTCCTTCCCGGTCTGTGAGATGGGGGTCACGCCACCTCCCTCCCAGGCCACAGTGAGAGCAGGCACCCAAGGACACCCGCTCCCATCGCTCACCTTCAGGGGCTTTGTCCACCGTGAACCACAGCTTGAAGCGCGCGGAATGTTCGTTCCTCAGCTCCTCCAGCTCCGGCCGCAGCAGGATGTCCTTCTCGGTCTGTGCGGGCACGCGTCCAGGGGTCAGGAGGGGCGACAGGGACTGCCCCTGGGCTTGTCATCGGTCCCACCCACGGGCCACACACCTGAAGCTTCCAGGAGAGCGGTCCGCCCCGCTCACCAGCCTCCTAACAACACTCATCCCGTCATCTCGCTCAGCGGATCAGGCGGCAGAGGACGTTCATCACAAACACCGTTTGCAAACCTCGGTGGGGAAATGTGCGCGGCAGTGGGGAGTGGAGAGAGTGGGAAACAACTAAGGATGGGAGCACTCACTACTGAGCAGAGGACAGACAGACTGGAAGGAAAGAGAACCCTAACTGTGATGATCCCTAGCTGGTGGTGATGATACTTAGAATAATGAGTGGTTCAGTTAAAAGAATGAAGGTTTTCCACCCTCATCCCTCGGACAAGCCTTTTTATGTTCTGGGGTCTCGGGCTGTACAACCATAAATTAAGAAATGAGACACCTGGCAGCCCACGTAGCCCTACAGAGTTCAGTCCATTGTCCTCTCCTCCAGGAGGCATGACTGACAGTGTTTATCTTCCTACTCCTGTGCCCACACTGTCCGATCTTTGCCAATCAGACTGATGGAACGTAAATCTCATGTTTTACTTTTTATTGTTATTATGTTATTATTTTTATTTTTTTATTTATTTTCCTTCTTTATTGATTTGAGAGAGATAGAAACATCGAGGAGAGAGAACATTGACTGGCTGTCTCCTGCCCGCCCCCCACTGAGGACTGGGCCCACAACCCGGGCATACACCCCGACTGGGAACCGACTAGCAACCTCCTGGTGCCTGGGTCGATGCTCAACCACTGAGCCACACCAGCTGGGCAATTATTTTTTATTATTAATAAATAAGTTTGCCCTGGCTGGTTTGGCTCAGAGGTTAGAGCATCGGCCCATAGACTAAAAGGTCATGAGTTTAATTTCTGGTCAAGACCATGTGCCTGGGTTGCAGGTTCAATCCCCGGCCCTAGTTGGGGCACGTTTGGGAGGCAACCAATCGATGTCTCTCTCACATCGATGTTTCTCTCCTCTCTCTCCCTTCCACTCTATCTAAAAATCAATGGAAAAATATCCTTGGATGAGGGTTAACAAAAAAATAAAAATAAAAAAATAAGTTTATCACTGGTCTAGTCATACCTTTTATTAGTTTGTAAAACTGTTTTAATATTAAAGATACTAATTTTTATTGGTGATGCATTATTTTGTTTCCTTATTTATTTTCCTACCTTATTTGTATGTCCTCCCGCACAAATAAGCGCGTATTTTTAACTTTTCAGCAGAGGACTCAGTCCGTCAGTCTTTTCCTCTCTGTCTGGCTTAGACCGACCATCCTTAGTCATTCACCCAACACTTGTGTAAAAATGCTCCACTACTACTTTTTCCTTTACTGATTTTAGCGAGAGCTGGTCAAGCGGCCTGTCAAGCCCTCTCTGGGCCTCCGCGTCCAGAGCTTACACAGGGGCAGCTGCACTGCGCTGGCCAGTGGGCTGTCAGGCGACGGGCTAAGAGGCGCAGAGATGCCCGTCTGCGTGACAGAGGACTGAGAGCCTCCACAAAGACTAACCCAGCGTGGACAAGTCCAACTGCGACCTGCCCTCCTGCCCCACCAGCAGCTTGGAATTTCTGGCTCTTTCTACCCACCCCAGGGCCTCGTGGGGCCACCTTGGTTGGACAGGCAGTTTTCTGCAGCGGTGCGAGACCAAGGACCTTAGGCAAGTCCTGTTCCTCAGGGCTGTTTCCTCACAGATGGTGGTACAGAGCCTAGGCCAGGGGACCGTACCTGGACACAGCCCCCACACTGCAGGGAAGGAAGGTCTCATCCTGGCCTCCCCCTACAGGGACATCACTTTACCAAATCCACATAATCAGTCATGAAATACTGAACCAGGAAAGACCTATGATGACCTTGCTCATTCCAGCTGAGGGATCGAAGCCCAGAGAGGGGAAGTGACTTGTCCAAGGCCACAAAGCAGGCCAGGGCAGGCTGGCAGCAGGTGTGGGGAGGAGGACACGCACTCAGGAGTGAGAGACCAGGACCAAACCCTGCCACAACACCCCAGCTCAGGGACCTAGTGCAGAGGGCTCTTGGCACCTCCCCTGTGAGAACGGCCCCTCTGTCTCCGGGCCGGCCCCAGCCCAGGCCAGCATCTGCCCACTCCACCGGTGGGCTCTGCACTCCGCTCACGGAGGGCGTGCTGAGGCTCAGGGGGAGCATCCAGGGGAGCACATCTCAGGTGGGGGGTGCTCCAGGTGCCTGGCCCTCTCCACCCCACAAGTGTCAGGCCAGACACGACTAAAAAGCCCAGCCCCCACCCACTGCAGCCGTCCCAAGCATCTTCAGCACGTCTCACAGGCCCCACGTCCCTCTCAGCCGGGCCTGGTGTGCACACCTCAGGAACGCCCACTGACCTGGTTGGCAAAGAGCAGGTGGCATACGGTGTGGTCATCCGGGTCCTTCATGATAGCTCGAATCACCTGCAGCATCGGGGTGATGCCTGCAAAACGGCAGCCCTTCCAAGGCTGAGTGAGCCCTGCTCACAAGACCCGGTGCCAGGCAGGTGCCCAGGGGGAGGTGCCAGGACAACTGGGCTGGGGCCCCTGACCTTGGTCTGCTCCCTGTTGCTCATATCTGTGCCCCGTACTACGCCCTGACCCCCACCCACAACATCCACCCGCTGGGGGCTCCAGAGGGGCCCCGGGTCCACACACCTGTTCCTCCCGCGATCATGCCGACAGACTTCACCGTCTTGATGACTGGGTCGGATTTCTTGTCTGGGCGGATGGCAAACTTTCCTGGGGAGAGGAGAAGGGATGAGGCCCGGCTCTCACACATGCCGTGTTTGGGGCCTGGATGGGCTGAAGACCCTGCCCCTTCTTTCGGGGTCCGAGGCATCCCCCCAGCCACTTAGGGTGAGGGGTGGATGGTGGGCTATCAGGACCAGCTCAAACCTGGAGGAGCACAGGGTGGGTTCCTCCAGCAGCCGGTGGGAGCCGTGCACAGGCCGGTGCACGGGAGGCTCCAGCACAACCCTTTCGCTTGTTTTCAAACAAGGTTGGTCTGTGGGCGGCTGCGGCCCCAAGGGCAGCCAGTCTGCAACCCCTGCGCTGGCCAATTTTCCCTAAAGCTAGGGAGCGGAGGCGCTGGAGAGGAAAGAGCTTGCCCAGCGAGAGTCACCCATCCAGACAGCGGCAGAGGCCAGAGCTGCACCAGCATCCGCAGCCTGCTGGGTCCTCAGGACTCAACCCCATTCACCTTTGCCCTGGTAGACCAGCAGCCCGTTCGGGCCCCGGAAGTCAATGGTGTCTCCAGTCTTCATGCTTTCCAGGTACTGCGACATCTTCCCTCCAGCGGGGAACTTGGGATGGGTGTCTTTGAAGTAAACCTGCAAGACACACGACAGTCCTCAGTCCCCGTTCCCATGGCTGCAGAGTGAGCTCTGGGCATAATGGGAAGTGATTCTCAGGGGCTCTCTGCAGCCCGCGTGTGGCCTCACAGAGTGCCCCCCCAATCAAAACGTACCCGTCTGTGCCTAGTACCCCCAGGAATCTGACCCCCCCAACATTTCCTGGAACACAAAGCAACCAACCCCATGGCTCGATCCGATGCATTAACGTTCTACCAAGAGCCCTCTCTGTGGACCCCCGATGAAGGATTCAGACGCCGTCAGCACAGTGAGGGCGAAAGGCTCCGGAAGTGGGCTCAGCCACACCCTTCCAGTGGGTGCTCAGTTCTTTCCATTTTGTGCTGTCATAAAAACATCACTCCTAGAATAACTTCCTGCCCTGTGCCCTCTGGGACTCCAGCTTTGGGGAAAAAGGAAGTGCTACAAGCCTCAGATAAAAAGATGCGGAGAGAGAGGAGCAGCTTACTCTGCCCAGGGCTGGGCCGGCTGCACGGGGTATTTCGCTGGGCCTGGGGGCCAGCAGCAGTGAGGGGAGGGACAGTGTGCAGCTGCAGCGGCCCAGGACTGGGGACTCGGGAAGGAGGAGCTCCATGTGGCTGCAGCCTGGGGATGCGTCGTTGTATGGGGGTGGGGCAGGGAGTGCGGGGAGAGGGGCTGGTCAGAGTACACTGTGCAGCAGGCCAGCTCTGACCTTTACCCAGGACCAATGCAGCCAGCGAGGTCTCCAAGCCAGGAGGGGCCTGGTCACCATGAGTTTTTTCTTTTTTTTATCCTCACCCGAGGACATTTTTCCATTTTTTGTTCAGATAGAGTGAGAGGGAGAGAGGAAGAGAGAAACAGCGACGTGAAAGGGACACATCGAGTGGCTGCCTCCCACACAACCCAACCAGGGCCGGGGACAAACTGCAACCGAGGTACATGCCCTTAGCGGGAACTGAACCCAGGTCTCTCTGAACCTCAGGCCAACACTCTAACCGCTGAGCCAACCCGGCCAGAGCACCATGAGTTTTTTTTATCCTCTACGTGAATCCCCCCAACACCTCCACATCCAGCCAGAGTGGCTTCAGTGAGAACAGATGCTTGAACCCTCACCACCTTCCCTTTGCTTCTGAATGAAGCCCCAAACCTTACTAGGGCCTCCAAGGCCCTGCCTGGCCCAATTGACCCAACCTGACTTGATCCACTGCCCTTTGGCTGCTTTAGTCCTTGTGCTTCCTTCTGACCTCAGGGCCTTTGCACCTGAAGGTCCTTTTCCTCCTCAGCCATCAGCTCTCACCTCACTCGTCACCCTACCCCTGCCCTAGGTCTGGTGCCGGTTCCAGGGGCTTAGTCCCATGTCACCTGGAGTAAGCACTGACTTGTGGTGGCCACATGTTCACTGGTGGCTCTCCAGCTAAGGATAGGGGCCAAAGATCAGCTGGGCACCCAGCAAGGGGTCTAAATGACACTGAGCCATGAAGAGCCCCAGGTCAGAGCCAGGACCAACAAGCCAGGCTCCCTTCCTGCCCTCACAGACCCAGTGCTGGCCCCAGGACTCAGTGGGGACTCTGCCTCTTTCCCTCTACCCACAAATGGCCAGTGGAGGGGCCCCGGGGGCCTTGAGCCAGGGGCCGTGGGGCTTTGGGCCATGACCGAGGACGGTCTCTAAACCCCACGCCACCAGCCTGGGCCAGTCCACATCTGTTGGAGGTGGAATCAGAGAACGTGGATCACCACTGTGAAGTCTGTGTTGAATTTTCATAAAATGCCCTGCGCTGTGGTCACGTCTCTCTCCACTCGGCACATTTCCACAGTCCTGGCCGGTTGTTGTGTCTCGCTGGTCCGTCGCCTGTAATGACTGCGTCTTCCCCGCAGGCTCCCACCCCGGCCCCTCTCTGCAGCTCCCACCCGGTGCCCGCGGGCTCCTCACACCGCACCCTGCGAGTTTGGGCGACGTTTCTCAGGGAAGCACGCCCGGGAAAGGCCCCGCGGCCACAGAGCTCCTGTGACCGAATGTGCTGGGGTGGGCACCCGGCCACCATGCAGATGGCCGGCTCCGGGAGTGGGAGGGTGAGCTGTCGGCCTTGCCGGCCCTCTGCTGCAGATGGGCTGTCCTTGTGTGAGGACGCTCAGCCCGAGCCCCGGGCCTGCCCTCCGCCGAGACCCCCACACGTGGCTTTTACTGGTCAAGCAGTTTGCTCTTCACTCTGAAACCAGGCGCAGGAAGCAACAGGCCTTCAGAGATGAGTCTGCAGGGGACATGGGGCCGCTAAAGGCCTCGCTATGACGTGGTTACCTCCACACCCGTCCCATGTGGTTGTGGCCCCAAGACCTCACCTTGATGACCAGGTCCACGAAGCCCTTGTCATCATCACTGGAGACGGGCGTGTAGGGCCGAATGACCAGGTTTCCATCGATTCTTGCCGAGAGGTAGATGTGCTGGCCTGTGAGACGGGAGAGTGACCGGGTCAGGAACCAGCCCTGCAGACCCACTGGGCTCGTCAGCTACCGCCCTGTGCCCACCCAGCACTCAAAGCCGAGCCGGCGTGGCTCCCACTGCCACCTCAGGGACTCCCATCACGTCCCAGCTTCCTGCCACCACGCCTCTGCTTGTGCTGAAGTCACTGCCAGGGACGCCGGGGCAGTTCCTCTCTCCTGCTGACACGTACTCTGGAAGGCCCACGGTGACGGTCACCTCCTCCCTGAAGCCTTCCCTGCTCTCTCCCTGAAGTGCGAAGTCCCCCCTCCCTGACCTACCACCTGCCTCTGTCGGGGCTGGGCTGGGGCTGCACTCACCTACAGGGAGGCCCAGGATATGCTGGGGTGTCGGCAGGGCAAAGCGGAACCGCCGGGTGTCGTGGTTGATGATCTGCAAAGAGGCTCGAGCTGTCGGACGGCACCCAGGGCAGAGGGGCCACCAGACTCAGAGCCCCGACCCCTCCCCAGTGCCCCCAAGTCATTGGGAGAAGTGACACCTCTGTCCTCACACGTGGACACAACCTGCAGGAACGTGTGAGGGCACAGAGGTCAGGCACACCTGCGCGTTGTCCTCGCCACCTGCCCAGGGCCACACAGAAAGACCGCAGAGCGGAAAGTACTCAGGATCCCAAAGGGAGGCTGCCAGATGGCCCAGAACATTCCAGGAGCAGGAGGGAGGGACCCACCCCTGCCATCAGCCTGAGCAGTGTCCTGGGGCCGCAGGAAGAACTTAGGGACCGGGCTGGTAAACTAGGGCCAGAGCTGAGACAAGGCCCCACGTGCCCAGGCCCAGGCTCAAGAGAGGGGCTCTAGACACCACCACACTCAAAGCCAACCGTGAACTGGAGCAGCCATGGCTGCAGCCTGCCGCTCAGGGCAGGAGGCGTGGCCAGGGCAGGGGCGTGGCCAGGGCAGGGGCGTGGCAGTCTCCCTGCCCAGGGCCATAGGCGGGAGAACAGCAGTCACATCCCAAAGTGGGGCAGAGGCTGGTCAAGAGGAAGGAGCAGGGATTAAAGCTCCAGAAACCCCGCTAAGTGGTCTTTTTTTTTTTTTTTTACATTTATTGCTGCACTTGCTGCCTCTTCTCCAGGTTGCATTCTACTTGTTCACCACTGTTTGAATACATCCCAGAATTCTTCCACTGGTGATGCCTACTTTTCCTAATAACAATACCTCACATTTCAATGGCACGTGGCAGTTTTATGGTTTTTTTGATCCTCACCCGAGGACATTTTTCCATTTTTTGTTCAGGTAGAGTGGGAGGGAGGGAGAGGAACAAAGAGAGAGAGAGAAACATCGATGTGAAAGGGACACATCGAGTGGCTGCCACCCACACAACCGACCAGGGCCGGGGACAAACTGCAACCGAGTACGTGCCCTTAGCGGGAACCGAACCCGGGTCTCTCAGGACCGCAGGCCGACGCTCTAACCGCTGAGCCAAACCGGCCAGGGCAGCCGCTAAGTGGTCTTAAACCGAGGCCAGACAGCTGTGTTCAGAGCTGGGAACTGAACCGAGGGCCCTGACTCCTGACCTGGGCTCCAGCAGGCCACTGCGGGGTCTCCCCTGCACGCAGTGCAGCCAGGGGGATGGGTGTGGAGCGGCAGCTCGGCAGACAGGAAAGTGTCCAGTACATGTTCACATGAGGCTAGGTGACAGGACAAGGTCCACCAACACAGAGAGTGTTCTCCCTCGGGGCGAGGGGGCCACAGACTTCTCCAAAGGAACAGAGCGCCACTGAAGTGTGTGAGCAGAGGCCGGTGGCCGGGATCTCAGGGAAGATGTGTCCGGCCACCAGGCAGGACCCGGGCTGGTCGCTGGCCGGCGGGCCTCTCCATCGCAGCCTGAAGCTGCCTCCCCAGAAGCCTTTGCACCCTAGGCAACAGAGCCCGAGGCTTCCAGGGAGCAGACTCCAGAATTATCGACTGGTCCTGGGGCTCAAGGTCAGAAACCCACAAGCCACATAATTTTTGGAGGAAGAAGAGAAGTGTGGGGAAGTCACTAATAATCACTGTGCTGGACCCCCACTCACAGGGCACAGCAGTCAGGAGGCTAAACCTGGGCACAGCTCAGCATGGTGCCAGGAGGCTGCTGGCGGTGACCACCCGAGCAGCAGACTCAGCGCTTCGGGACCTTCGATCACCTGGTCCAGTCCCGTCCAGAGAGACAGGAGGCAGCAGGGGCCTTTCCCTGGGCCGACGGCAAAGCACAGCGAAGGATCCAAAAGCAGACCCGCGCCCTGGCCGGTTTGGCTCAGCAGTTAGAGCATCAGCCCGTGGACCACAGAGTCCCGGGTTCGGTTCCTGCTAAGGATACGTACCTCGGTTGCAGTTTGTCCCCGACCCCGGCTGGGGTTGTGTGGGTGGCGACCACTCGGTGTGTCTCTCTCACCTCGATGTTTCTCTCTTTCTCTTCCTCCCTCTCTCCCTCCCATTCTATCTGAAGATAAATGCAAAAAACGTCCTTGGGTGAGGATAAAAATATATATTAAAAAAAAAAGAAGAAAGGAAAATATTTCAAAACCTTACGATTTCCTTTTAGTAAGAAAAATATGTAAGAAACATAGTGAAGGAGTAAGTGTGGTCTCATCTGGGAGGGGGTGACTCTGGTTTCTAACTCTGGCTTCTAATTCTTCTATGAACTCCTGGTACAATGACAGACACACAACCCCTCCGTCGCAGGAAGCCCCACGCTGTGTCAAGGACACGTGAGACTTGTGTGGAGCCCAGGGCAGGTGACTTTCTGTGCTCCGTGACTCAGTTTCCCCTGTGACACTCTTCCTGGGGCAGCTGCAGACGACCAGAAATAGCACCAGGAAGGGGCTTTGAGGGGGAGAGTAAGGGGCACAGGGCAAAGGGGGGAGGGGATGGTTTTAAATCAGGATCCGAAGTGAACTGGGGAATATCGAACAAGGGCAGCAGTGAGCCTCTCGGAGGGGCAGACGGAGCCACACGAAGAGATGTGTCTTTCTCACACAGTAGGTCTGCACAGACCAGACCAACAAGCACCAGGCCCTGCCCTGAGTAGATGCCCCTGGGGGTGGAAAAGGAGGAGGGAGGAGTCCTTGTCTTAAAGGAAGGGGCCCAGGGATTCGAGGCACCTGGGACCACCGGGAGGCCTGAGCCTGAGTCCAAACTTACAGTGTGACCCAAATGCCCCCTCCTCCTCGCTCGCCCTGTTTTCCCATCTGTTATATGGGCACCTGGACCCCTGAGGGGTCCCTCCCACCTGGACCTTCTGTGGGATAGTAAGTGTGGTTCAGAGAATGTGCTCTGTGGTCAGAGACCTGGGTTCAAATCCCTCTGCCACTACTAGTAGCCATAGGAATAGACATCACCTTGCTTTCCCCACCTGTTAAATGGGCAGATAATAGGACCTTCTTCAGAGGGGGCCATGTCCCGAGCACATAGTAGTGCCTGGGAAATGCTGTGATGCTGAAAAAGAGAGCTGCCTCTGGGGCCACACCCTGGGACCCCGCGGGGCCGCACTCACCTCCTTGTCAATGAGCCGCAGCGGGTACTTGATGTCCGGGCTCTGGAGGGTGATGGCCGGGGTGGAGCGCTGGAACAGCTTCATGAGCAGGTTGTAGAGGAACCAGACTGGGGAGAGGACCACGTGGCCCAACTGAAATGACAGGGACAGACCCACAAGGTCAGCGCGGGCAGGGGCCTGCCACTTGCCCTCCCCTCAGACACAAAGCTGGTCCACACCTCCATGCCTCTGCTCAAGCTGTCCCCTCCCCCGGGAATGCCCTCTCCTCACCATCCTCACGGGGGAGCCCAGCATGCACTCTGGCCGCTGGGAGAGGTTACAAAAACCAGACTCATGAAACCCATCAGTGCATTACTGAGTCACTGGCGAAGCTCCATTTGCCCCGAGGAACAGGGACAAAGAACGCTACGTGACTGAGCATTTTCGCTCTGGCTACCAGAAGCTCAGAGTCGAGTTCCCCAGGACCCGTGCTTAGTCCTGAGCACCGTGTGTCTCTGCTCCCTCTCCCCTCTCCTCCCTCAGTCACCTCCCCTGGTCCTATAAGCTGCAGTCGCACAAACCTGAGCCCTGGGCTTCGCCTTCAGGGGTGAGCCCCCAAGACCGGGCCGGGCACTAGGAAGCTCTGCTCCCTGCTGGCTGTGTGATCCTGGGTAAGTCCCTTCCCCTCTCTGAACTGGACCAGGAGAGCTGCAGGGTTCTCGGAAGCCCTGAGACCACCATGCTGAGCCGGCGCAGCGGTAACCTCGTGACGGCCCTGTGAGGTCGGTACTGTCCCCACCACCACTTCATAAACGAGGGAAAAGTTCGGAGAGGTGAAGGAACTCCCTCGAGGGACCCGAGTCCACCTGTCTCCCCAGTCACCACTTAAATGTCAGGCCCACGCTCACCCTCTTGCGTGGCCCTAAGGGGCTCCTCCTTGCCAGCCCCCTGACCCCATATCTCAGCCTCACAAAGACCCGAAGTGGGGGGGGGGGTGGTAAACAGAGAGAAAGCCTCAAACCCATGGCGGGATAGCTCGTTGCTCAGGTTTACCTGGAGAGGACACCTTGGCAAGAGAGACACAGGCCTCCCACCCTTCCTAGCGGTTGTCCCTGGGCAGATCACTTAGCCTCTCTGAGCTCAGTGTGTCCATCTGTGAACGGGGATCACAGCCCAACTCTGTGGGTTGTGAAGATGGTACTGGGGCATGGAAATTGCCTAACCCGGGCCAGGCCCCGGCAGGCCCTTGACCCCACAGGGCATCTGCTGTGCAGCACCTACCCCTTGGCCACCCGGAAGTTGGGTCCTAAGAAGCCCCCACTCTCTGGACCACAGGAAGGGACAGCATGTCTTGCACCTCCTGACACAACATAAGAAGGGCCCATCACAGCCCCGCGGGCTTCCTGCAGAAACACACAACCTGCCTCCACCCATGAGGAAACAGAGGGCTGTTCTCCAAAATAACATCTTCCAAACGTCAAAGCCACAAACGGCAAAGAGAGCCAGAGAAACGGGTCCAGGTTACAGGAGGCTCTGGTAGGCGGAATGGTGGCCCCCAGAAGACATGTCCACCCAGATCCTGGGAATGTGACGTCCGGAAAAAGGGTCTTTGCAAACGTAATTCTAAGGGTCTTGAGATGAAATCATCTTGGATTATCCCAGGAGGCCCTAAGTCCCACGACACTGTCCTTATGAGAGAAGGAGACTGGGAGACGGCCACGCGGAGGAGGAGGCAGGCCGGGGTGATGTGGCCACAAGCCAAGGAGGCCGAGGCTGGCCGATCTCCTGGAGAAGCCGGAAGAGGCGGGGAGGGCTCCCCTTGGCCTCAGGAGAGCGAGAGCCTGCCCACACTTGGACCGCAGACGTCTGGCCCCCAGAACTGCGAGACGATAGCTTTCGGCTGCTTTATGCCACCTGGTCCGTGCTCATTTTCAGGCAGCCCTAGGACACTAATACTGAGGCCAAGGGGACAGACCAACTGAATGCTGGGTGTGGTTCTGGATTAGAGCCTGGCCCAGGAGAAAAACAGTTATGAAGGGCAATGCGGAGCCGACGGTGAAAGATGAATCCGGGCCCACGAATCAGACAGCGGCGCTATATCAATGCTACTTCTCTGATTTGTTCATTGCCCTGCGCAAGGCAGAAGAATGTCCTTGTTCTTAGGAGAAGGGCACGGAAGTATTTCGGGGCAAAGGCGCACCATACCTATAACACTCTCAAATAGTTAAAAGCCACAACCCCACACACACACACCCACGATAAAGCAGACACCGTAAATGCTAATATTTCGTAGAACTGCATGAAGAGTATACAAGAGCCCTTTGTACACTCTTGCAACTACTATAAGCTTGAAATTATTTCAAAATAAAAAGCAGGGCATGGTGTAGGGGAAGTCCACGCTGGTGGCTCACACCAGGAGGCAGAGACCCAAAGTTCACACAAAACACTGGTTCTCAAGAAAGCCAGGTAGCTCAGCTGGTTAAAGCATCATCCCCATACGCCAAGGCTGTGGGTTTGATCCCTGGTCAGGGCACATACAAGAAGCAACCAATGAATGCATAAACAAGTGGAACAACAAATCGACCTATGTCTCTCTCTCTCTAAAATCAATCAATCAATAAAAAAAAAGTGGTTTCACAGCTTGTTCACTCACTCTCCCTAGGAAACCTCCCTGACTTGTTCCCTCAGCAAATGACTGTGTGCATTCTTCTTTTCGTAATACTGCAAGTTCCCCTTTTTGCCTTGGCTGCCAGGACGCTTAGAGCCAAGTGCCTTGCTTCCATAGGGGCCTCTCTGCTTCCTTTGTGGGCTCTTGAGGTAGCAAATTCTTCAGGGCATAGACCTGCGCGTGGCCCCTGCTCTGCTGAGGGCTAGGCGAGATGCCCTACTGCTCCCTATCCTGTAAACCTCCTCACTTCCACCAGCCTGCGGGGGCCTCTCTGGGCCTCGGCCTTCTCTTCTGTAGAGGTGAGAGCCACTGCCCTGCCCACCTCCTCGGGGAGCTGAGATATGAGATGACATGAGGGTGGCCCAGGTCACGGAGTGGTCTATCACCTGAGAACTATGGGTACACCCACAGAAATTTTCCTGCCACCCTCATGGGGCCACTAAACCCCACGGCAGTTGGAATATTCAACTCAAGGAGGGGCAGAGGCACCAAGATCCCACACCAGGCCGGGCCCCGCCCCCAGACCGGCCCAGCAGCTTCCAGCTGCCTGGCTGTCACCGAGGTTACAGGCTTGTTGGGCTCGGAACAATGTGTCGCCTACGTAGGGCCTCCGGGCCGGGCAGCCGAGGCCTCGCCCCACGGGGCCCCTGGTCTGTGCCTGATGGTCTAAAGGGAAGGCCGGAAAGGGCCAGAACAGCCCCTGCCAGGACACCTGTACACGTAACCAGCCCCTACCGTGTTCCGGGCACCGTGTGCCATTTCACCACTCCCGGTCTCATTTAAGGCCCTGGCTGGTAGCCCTGGACTTGGGGTCCGGGGACCAGGGTTCGAGTTTCAGCTCAGGACTTCAGGAGAGAATCTTGGCCTCTCCAGACTCCACCTTCCTCAAGCTCATGAGGACGGTCCCACTAGGGCTGGGGAGGAAACGGGGCAGGAAAAGGCCATGCGCAGAGCAAATGTGACCAAGGTCCCCAAGCTGACATTGCTCCCGGTATGGGACGAGTTCCCTGGGATAATCCTCACTTCCACCCTAGGCCATAGGTGCTGGCAGGAAACTGAGGCCCAGAGAGGATCAGTAACGTGCCCCAAGTCACTCCAATCCCCAGAGGACCACACTCATGACAAGTGATACTGTCGTCCCTGTTTCTCAGAGAGATTAAATGACTAACCCGTGGTCATACAAGTCAGGGTGGAGCTGGGATTCAACCCCAGGCCTGTCAGGCCCAAAGAATGGCTCTTCCCAAGCCTTCCCAGGGCAGGTGCCCTCTCTGTGCCCCAGTCACAGAGCCCACAGCCCAGATCCCCCTGCCCCACCACAATCCAATATCCTGCCTTCAGCCACAGCTGCCCAAACCAACAGGCCGCTCCATCCCCTCCTCAAACACCCACCATGACTCCCACTATCTACGCTCAAGGCCCCTACTGAGGGCCACACCAGCCACAAGCCCTTCTTGCCTGGAACCTTTGCAAATTCTCCCTTCTGCCCAGAATGCCCTTCCTTTTCCCTCAGCCAACCAGCAAACTCCTATTCATCCTTCAGAACCCAGCTCAAATGTCAAATCTTCCCTGATTGGCACTCCCTAGCTAATGGAGCCCTCAGCAGACTTCCACAGCCCCTGCTCCCCTCTGTGAACTCCCCAGGGTGAGGACGATTCTGAAGATTCCTCTGCGGTAAGCCCCTCCCAGGTCAGTCAGAGAAGCTACATCCATGGGGAATATTGTTTAGGAAAAAGTTGAGTGAAGTTCCATTCACAGGAAATCACCATTGTTGGGAGCCCTGGAAATGAACTTAAATGGCACTGAGAGCCGACTGGAGTTGTGTTTGGTGCTTCCAGGAGTTTAATGTCCTCCCAGCACAGCTGTTTACATGCACAGCCAAGTGCAACAGCGAAAGACCCCTCGGCCTGCAGCGTGCTCAGCCTGCAAAGCTCCTTTCCTTGCATTTCCTCGCCCACCCAGTCGTGGGAGACAGGCCAACTGTGTTCATTTGACAAATGGAAAAACTGAGGTTCAGAGAGATGGAGTCGACTTCGGTTCCCAATTTTCTGTCGCTCGCCCCTAATCTATGTCCTGCCCCAAGCCTACAAGTGCTGGCCCGGCCATAAGAAAGACGCATGCCAACAGCTCTGAAGGAAAGTCCTCAACCCCTGCACAGCCCTTCTAGACCCCGGGAGCCTGCTTTGTGCACCCTGGGTGCCAGTCCTGGGTACAAACAGCAGGGCCAGCTCCCCAGTCAACAGGAAACAGAAGACCCCGCAGCAGAAGCCGCAGGGGGGCAGGATGATGTGTCTCATCACCAAGGCATCCCCAGCACTCAGAGCAGAGACACTCCATCAATATTTGTGGATAAACTTGTCAAGGGACAACAATAAGACCTCTTCCACCCTATCTCTTTCTGATTCTTTTTATGTTGCCTGGAAGTTTCAGGAACAAGGGCAAGAGGCCAGATCCCTCCCTGGTGAGGGTGAGGCACTCATGGCCCCTCCTATCTTAAAAACCCACAGCCCTGCCCAGCAGGTGTGGCTCAGTGGTTGAGCATCTACCCACGCACCAAGAGGTCGCCAGTTCGATTCCCAGTCAGGGCACATGCCCAGGTTGTGGGCCCGATCCCCAGTGGGGGGCATGCAGGAGGCAGCCAATGGACGTTCTCTGTCATCGATGTTTCTATCTCTCCCTTCCTCTCTCTCTAAAATCAATAAAGGAAAAAAAAATTTAAAACAGCAACAAAAACAAACCCACAGCCCTCCACAGAGCACAGGCGACGGGGCTGGGATCCTGGCTTCCTGGCTATATCCTCACCTGTTAGGCACACCTACCTCCCAGGGGTGTGGTGGGACCAGAGCCGCTGGTGGAAGAATGTTTCCAGTCCCTTCCCACCAACAGGGGACTCTGCGGGGCTGGGGCGGAGCTGTGATAACCCCTATTTCAGGTGAGGACTGAGGCTTGGGTGACAAGCCCCATGGTCAGGATTTGAATGCAGGTGTCTGGCTGAGTCTGTGCACCGAGCCATACCCCACGGCCTCTCTGTGCCCAGATGCCACTTGGCCACCGAGAGAGCAGAGGACTTCATACAGAGGACTTCCTATCTGGGGAGGCAGACCCTCACTCAGTCAGTTCTTCAGGCCACAAACCCCAGTGGGCACCCCTGCCAGGGCCTATGCTGGATTTGGGGGACACAGGCCAGGGGAACCACCCCTGAGGAGCTCAAGCCAGTGGGGGAGACCGACACGGGCAGAGAAAAGGTGCAGTGGAGGGGCGAAGGCTTTGTCTCCAGAGAGTGGAGGCTTTCCTAGACTCACAAGGAGCGGGGATACTGTGGGAAGAAACAGGCTCTGAGCCCCCTCTCTGTTTCTGTCAACCCCCCTGTGAGCAGTGGGCAGAGTAAACAGGAGGCAGATGGCTGCGGCCAAGGCTTCACCCCAGCTCCTCCTCAGCTGTGCTGCTCGTACACTGAAACTACACACACACACCACCTCACCCCAGCCCCCCAGGGGGCCTAGGAAACAGCTGTCTCCCAGGCCTTGACCTGATGCTCCGCAGGCTGTGCTGGGCCCCATAGGGAACACCCCACCTGCCTCTCCTCGCCTGATTACACAGGAGGGGGGAGGGAAATGGGGTGCCAGAGACCCAGGATGTCTCCAGGGAGCCCCCAGCTCATCCACCACAGCTGAAGGGCTGGGGACCCTTGCTACCCACCACAGGGTGCCATGCACAGCTGTTTATCCCCTGGAATTCTGCACTGGGACCCTGGCATCCACTCTGCCAGGTCAGGTCTGGGTGGGCCGAGGGATGTGCCAGGACCCCCACCTGGCAGGCCCAGCCCTCCCCAGGTGCCAGCTCTCTGTGCTGAGGCTTACCTGCCTGCTGCCTGACTGTCAGCTGTCTCACTGGGATCTGAGAGGTCACCTCCCTCCTGGTTCCCTTCTCAGGAAGTGGGAGGGAGTGGAGGAAGTTCTGCAAAAGGGCGGGGGCTCCTGGCTTGCAAGGGCAGGAGAAGGGAACCCAGGAGGAGGGGCAGGTGAGCAGAGCTCTGCAGGGGAGACACTGCCCTGCTTCCCACGGGCCACAGATGAGGCATGAAATTGCCAGGGTAAGTGTGGTGGTGGGCCCACTGAGCACTCACCGCTGTGCTGGGGGCCGGGGAGCCACAGTCCCCAACGTCCCCTCAGTCTAGGTGGCTGGTAGACTCAAGTGCCAACCCCTCAGCTGGGCCCCCATAGGGTGTGGGCAGTGGCCTCCCTCAAAGCCTGTACATCCTCGATAAGATGCCCGGGGCACCAGCCTGGGCGGCCTCCCACAGACTACACCGAGCCCTGCACCAGGCGGCCTGGCTAAGTGGGGCCAAGTGGCGATCTCAGCAGGGCCCACGAGGAAGGGGCAATTCCTGCCAACCGCCCCTTGGACAGATGAGGTCTCCTAACTCCAAGACAGGGCTCTGCCCCTCTCAAGGGGACTGCCAGGGGGCCGCAGCTGTTCAGTAACCATGTGTGGAACAGGCACATGCTGGGGACACAGCGACAAATCCAAGCAATGCTGGCAAGAAGGTGAGAAGCACCATGGGGGTGGGGGTCAGGGGAAGGCAATTTCTGGGAACATAGAACCACAGGACTGTTACACTGAGACTGGGGTGATGCCCACAGGTTTGCCCTGGGCAAGGCTGCCTCTTGGTCTGAATATCCCCCCCAGTCCTGGGCTGGGCCATACTGTTTATGAGCAAACCCTTTGGGCCTCCTCACTTCCTATGGGAGGAGTCTCACAGTCAGAGGGAGGAGCAAGTGCCTTCCAAGTCCACGGTGCTTGGGGTGGAGGTGCTGGGCCTAACCGACCCACCCCCCTCCCCAGCCAGCACCTTGGGTAGGGGTTGCCCTCTGGCTACAGTCTCCCTGTAAAGCACAAGCCCCCAACAGGTCACTATGGCTTTTGAGAAATCCCAGAGGAGGTGGGCCTGGTGGGAGGGACAGCCACTTTGGGCCAACCCAAAAGTGGCAGCATGACAATGGACTTTGGAGCCCCACAAATTCAGGCTCCGCCACAAGTCACTGCCAAGTCTAGTTCCATTTCTTCATCAGTAGAACGGCTGACAGCACAAGCCTCTGTCTGCCAGGGGCCAGGTCTGCTGGTTACCGGGAGGCAGGCCCAGTGGTGGTGGTTCTGAGAGATACAGAAAGCCCTTGGATCCAGTGACATCACACACACACACTCACACACACTCTCCCACGCTGCCATTCAGGCACACACACTCAGGCACACGCACTGACTCTCACCCTCACTCTCACACACTCAGGCACACGCACTGACTCTCACCCTCGCTCACACACACTCAGGCACACGCACTGATCTCAAGCCTCGCTCTCACACACTCAGGCACACGCACTGACTCTCACCCTCGCGCGCACACACACTCAGGCACACGCACTCACTCTCACCCTCACTCACACCCTCAGGCACACGCACTGACTCTCACCCTCACTCTCACACACTCAGGCACACGCACTGACTCTCACCCTCACCCTCACACACTCAGGCACACGCACTGACTCTCACCCTCGCTCTCACACACTCAGGCACACGCACTGACTCTCACCCTCGCGCGCACACACACTCAGGCACACGCACTCACTCTCACCCTCGCTCACACACACTCAGGCACACGCACTGACTCTCACCCTCGCTCTCACACACTCAGGCACACGCACTGACTCTCACCCTCGCTCTCACACACTCAGGCACACACACTGACTCTCACCCTCGCTCACACACACTCAGGCACACGCACTGACTCTCACCCTCGCTCTCACACACTCAGGCACACACACTGACTCTCACCCTCACCCTCACACACTCAGGCACACACATTTGCACTCACGAGCACGCACATCACGCGCGCACACGTTCGCATGCACACCGCTCAGCCGCCCTATCGCTCCCCAGCCACAGTCACACTGTCACACTCGGGCGCACAGTTCCCGGTCACAGACGTCCCGCACACACGCGCGCACCGCTCCCTCTCCGGGGCGGGACGGGACGGGCGGCAGGAGCGCCGGGCGCCGGCAGAGCCCCGGGCGGGAGTCACGTGCCCCGGGCACACCCGGGCCGGGGTGGGGCGGGAGGGTGCGGCGGGTGGGATCCGCGCCCCGCCCCCGCGGCCGGAGGCAGGGGGCGCCGCCGAGCCGACTGCGGGGTGCCGGCCGGTGCCCAGGGCCCGAGCCCCGAGCCCCGCGCCCGCGCCCGCCGCCTACCGTGCTCAGCTGGGCCCCCATCGTGGCGCCGCGCTCGCTCCGCCGCCGCCGAGACAGTCGGGCCGCCGCGCCCAGGGCCCGCCCCGCGGCCGCGTCACCCGCGCAGGGGGCGGGACCCGGCCGGGCGGCGCGAGGCCGAGCGCGGGGCGGGGGCGAGCCGCCGGGGCGAGCGGAGCGGGGCCGCGGGCGGGGCGCCGGCCTCTCCGGCTGCGTCTGCCCCGCAGGGGAGGAAGATGGCGGCCTCGGCGGACGGAGACTCCGCCGCCGCCTCCCGGGCCCGGGCCGCCCGCCTCGCCCGGCCGCAGGGGGCGCCGCGGAGCACGTCGCGGGCCCGGGGCTTTCCTGACGCCCCGCGCGCTGGGCCCCAGCCAGGCCGTCGAACATGCATTCCTTCCCTGGGCCCAGTGTCCCCAGCGCCCCAGGCCACCCCTGCTTATTGTGGCACATCACCTGTCCCCTCCTGCCCCGCCCCGTCTTCAGGCAGCCCCGTGGTCTTCTTGCTCTTAGTGATGAGCTGAAGTCATCCTGTGTTCCCGGGGAGGGTCCGGCCCCAGCCTCACCCCATCCCTGTGGACTGTGGGCTCCCCGAGGGCAGGACTCTGCTTTGAAGCCTGGTGCATATAGTAGGTGCTCACGGAATACTTGTTGGATGAGTGAATTTGACAGACAGTGGACACCTCCTCTGTGTAGGCCCACGCTGGCCCCAGAAGCACTCTCTGGCCTTACCCTCCTGGAAAGATGGTCTGGGACCCAGATATGGGTTCCTCTGGCCAGCCAGCCTGTTGTGGGTGTGCTCCTGCAGCGTGATGCTGGCCAGACAGAAGGAACTGGGCAGAGCCTGGAGGTGGGGACAGGGTGGACAGACACAGGGTCAGCAAGGCCCGAGCTGGGAGCACAGTGGTGTGATGTGAGGTCAGGGTGAGGCAATGTGGGACCTGGGTGGAAGGAACCGGGATGGGGGGGAATGTGGGAAGCCCTGGAAGATTTAGGCAGCGGGGGAGGGACTGCCGGCTTTGAGAGGGAACTGGGGACAGCATGGAGGGAGGGACGGAGAGAGGGACCTACTACCAGAATACAAGGGTGAACGAGGCAGCAGATTGCTTAGGTATTATTTCAGTGTTTATGATCACAATTTTAATATTTCAAAGGAAGTAACCCAATCGGAAAGCTTGACCTCCGCGCACATGACCAGATGCTTTCCAGGCCGGCCACTCTACCGGTGCCCTATCAGAGGCCTGGGGAGCAGATCACCCCAAACTGCTCCTTTCCCCCAATCGCTTCTGATTTTCCTCACATTCCTTATTACACCTGGGTTGATGATGATCACAGGAGTGTGTTCTCCTCGTGACATGCAGAGGTAGCCAAGCTGACTTTCCCCTTTTAATCACCCTCCGCGGCCATGAAGAATTCCCACACATGGAAAGACTCATCGTCTAAATAGCATGAAATAAACAAAACCTAAACCCTGTCTAGATTAAGGCTAAAAAGCTAGTCCAGCAAACAATCCTATAAAATCAGAATTAGAATGGAATCTATTTTCTTGCCTCGTATTGCCATTTAACTTATTATATGTATTTGTGGACTCAAAAACAAAATACTTTTCCTCCTAAAGTTATGCATGTTATTACTGCCTCTTTCAGATCATATTAACTGTCCATTCCTTTCCTTCTTTAGCTGTGTGATTTTTTTTTTTAATTCTTACCTGAGAATATTTTTCTATTTATCTTCAGATAGACTGGGAGGGAGAGAGAGGGAGAGAAAGGGAAACAGAGAGAAACATCAATGTGAGAGGGACACATCGACTGGTTGCCTCCTGCACAACCCCGACCAGGGCCAGGGACAAACTGCAACTGAGGTACATGCCCTTGGCCAGAATCGAACCTGAGACTCATTGGTCTGCAGGCCGACGCTCTACCACTGAGCCATTCCGGCCAGGGTTGTGTGAATTACTTCATAATTGTTTCTCTACATAAAATTTAACATCATTCACAACATAGAATATTGAGGCATTTTGTTCTCACTACAGTAAATCCTGCCTGCGTTTACACCTCAACCCACTGCACACTTCACTGAGTAAGACACAAAAGGAAACTCACTCATTTATATCTGGAAGCTTCCCTTGAAAGTGACCTGCCTACCAGGGCTGGCCTTGCATTGCTTGATTGTGTGGCCCAGTCCATGGCCACACGTGAACTCGGGGAGGCCACATCTGGTGCAGCAGTGGACAAAGGCTGAAAAGGAAGCCAGAACTGAGGGCGGATTCTGTCTGCTTGGGGCGCCACATGGTCAGGACAGTTGCTTATGTGCTCTGGACAGTCACGACTCCAGTGTCACTGGAGAATCCTTGCAGCCACACCCTGATGACTTGGTCCCAGGCCCAGCAACCCCATCTCCCAGCTGCCCCAGCCCTGGTGAGGGACACGCCCAGGGGCATTTATTTTGGCCAGTAACTGCTCTGGGCCTCAACCCCCGAGTTTCTTTTGGGGGTTTGGACCTGCTTGCAATAACCAAGTGAGACCCCAGGACTTGTTACTTTAGGGGATACTGTTACAATTCCTGTCCCCTTTTCTCTGGGCCTCCCTCTTCTCCCTGCCTGTCTGATCCTGCCCTCACCTTGGGAGACAGGGTGTCTCTTTGGGGGTGGTGGGCAGTGCAGGTGACGGAGTGGTGGCACGGTTTCTTTGGAGAGGGATCCCGGACCCCATGGGGGCTGCTCACCCCTGCAGGAATGTAGGGTGGCCTCAGGGGCTATGGCATGGGGGGCAGGAGAAGACCTGGGATGACAATGATGAAGTGGCTTCCTCCTGCTCTTGGGACTCAAACCAAGTGGGGTAGGTTCAGTTGCCATTCACTGCGTGACCACAGGCCAAGGCCTTCTGTCCTCGGCCCCCTCCTCCGAGAAAGGGCGTCTGCAGGGTCCTTGAGATGGTATTTTACTCTGGGTGTGTGTTCCCTCAGACTTCCTTTTCTTTATCCTCACCCAAGGACATTTTTGCATTTATCTTCAGATAGAGCGGGAGGAAGAGAGGGAGGAAGAGAGAGAGAGACACATCGAGGTGAGAGAGACACATCGGCTGGTTGCCACCCACATGACCCCAACCGGAGCCGGGGACAAACTGCAACCGAGGTTTGTGCCCTTAGCGGGAACCGAACCTGGGACTCTGGTCCCCAGGCTGACGCGCTAACCACTGAGAAACCGGCCAGGGCCCCTCAGACTTTTTACTTGGAAAAATGTCCAGTGTATAGAGAAGTTGCGAGAATAGTCCAGTGAGCTCTCAGATTGGCCAGTTGTTGACATGTGCCCCCCCCCTTCCTCTCTATTGATCTGTTTGCTTTTGCTGAACCACGGACAGTTGGTTGCTGTGAGTGACCCTTCGCCTCTAAACGCTTCACCATGCAGCTCCTGAGACCAAGGCTGTTCTCCTACGCATCATGGCGCAGGACAAGGTTCTGGAAACGCAACGCGACGGTACTATCTTCTAGTCAGGCTCCAGTCCCAGGCAAGCGTGGCATTTATTTGGCAGGTCCCTTTAGACGCCTTTAATCTGGACACTTGGATCGGAGGCCAGGTGATGAGTCTCCCGGCTGGGGGTGCTTGCCTGGTTTCCCCACTAGAAAGGGAACTTCTCCTTTGATACCGTGTGAAACTGTCGTCCGATGGTTTTAGCACTTATTGATGATCTTTGCCTGAATCGGCTTTCACTGAGGTGGTTTAACAGGTTTACAGGATGCTTTGGGGAAACAAAACACCTTTGTCCTAGTTTCTCAAGGTCCTTCAGTGAGCCAGAGAACAGAGCTGCCCCCAGGCCTGGTTGCCTGCTGGGCGTGTCCTGTGTTTCATCCTCAGGGAGGCTGGGCGGTGGGCAGAGAAACCCCAGTTTCATTATACAGTGGGGGAGACTGAGGCCTGGAGGGGACAGATGCGGGCAGTATGGAGCAGCTCCTCAGGAGTCTCTGGGCTCTGGCCCCTTCCATGGACTGGAAAGGAGACTTTCGGGCCGAATAGAGGACGTTTCTGGGTCCAGGTTGGTGTTGTCTGACCCCCAGCAGTCCCCCTGGTCCCAGGTATCTGTGCAGGACCTAAATGAGCAGATTTAGCAAGTAAATATTCGAGATTCCTGGTAGGTCCCGGTTGAATCTAGATAGAGTACAGATTGCACACTGCTGGCCAAAGGAGGCCTCCAGCCCATGGAAGAATCGGTCCTGGGTTTTGGATTCATTTCAGTCCATTGCCAAGTTAGGACTTCTGAGACTCGTACCAGCTCCCAGCTGGGGGCCCTGCAGGTACTGGATGTGCAACCTCTGGTGGAGCTGATTCTTTGAGATCCTTCCAAGGCGCCCATTCCCTGCACCGGATCTAATTCTCATGTGCTCTGTTCCCTGGGGGCGGGTGACTGGGGTTCTAGGCTTGGCTCTGCCCCACCCAGCTGCCTGATCTTGGCCGGCCACCATTCATTTGCAGACCAAATCTGTAAATGGGTGGTTACACCCATTTCAGAAAGCTGCGTTGAGGATTAACTGGAGTACCAGCTATAACCCTGCTTATAAAGCCAGGTCTGTGGACAGGTGGAAATTAGACCTCGAAGCGCCAGAGTGTCTACGGTGAGGAATCAGAGGTGAATGTTCTCGGCGCCCAGAGACACACACAAGCACCAGCTGAAAACAGTGGAGGAACCCCAGGTCCAGGCTCTTCATGCCCCAGGGAAATCAAGGGAAACCTCACAAAGGAGGTGACATTTGAACAACTCATTCACTCTTCTATCTTTACTGAGCACCTACTATGTTCCAGGCGCCATTCTGGGTGCTGGGTTATAGCAGTGAGCAAGAGAGACAAAAATGTCTTCTAGCCCAGCTGCTGTGGCTCAGTGGTTGAGCATTGACCCATGCACCGGGAAGGAGGTCACCGGTTTGATTCCCGGTCAGGGCACATGCCCAGGTTGTAGGCCGGATCCCCAGTGGGGGGCATGCAGGAGGCGGCCAGTCGATGTTCTCTCTCATTGATGTTTCTGTCTCTCTCTCCCTCTCCCCTTCTCTTTCTCTAAAATCAATAAAGAGAAAA